TTTTTTTTTTTAAATTAGGATAGCGGGTCGGGTCTGATCGGGTTGGGATTTTGGGCAGGTCGTAAATCGTAATAACTAATAGGAAATCAGATATTAACAAAAATACCAACAAAATGACAAAATTATTAAATTTACAAAATTGAAATCTTGGATAAATTTTCAAAAAAATTCAATTTTTTATTTTTATTTTATGTATTTTTTCGCCGGTCCGGTTTTAAAACGTAATTAAAATTCTCAAACCTAAACCAAACCGTATTTGACCGGTTTGGTTTGGTTCAAAACCATTTCGTTGACGGGTCCACGTGGCATCAAACTGTCGGTTTCGAAATTGCGATTTCGGTTCAGTTTTCCGATTTGACGGCTTTTGCTTATAGCCCTACTAGGAAGGTATGAATGTTTAGAACATGTTTGTCAAGAAATCTGCTTATCTTGTAGTATGCACAATCACTTATTTTCTTTAGTTTGGTGAATTTATTTTCTTATATATAGTAAAGAAAAGGCGAAGGACTCAATAATTATTCGTACAAGAGACATATCAATGGTTTTGCTGTCGTTCTTGAAGAGGAAGATGCATTAGAAATAATAAGTATGACAATACATATTTTTTTACATTTATTCTTATGTTTCCTATGTACTAGGTTTATAGCATGTTTGGTAATAAGGAAAAAAAATGTTAAAATCTCGTTCATCATAGTGTCCAATACATCATGTTTATTTTGTATTAAAACATATTTTTTGTCATTGAAGAGCATCCAGATGTAGTATCTGTTCCCTTGGATCAAGGAAGGAATTTACACACAACACATTCATGTGAATTTCTTATGTTGGAAAGAAATTCTTAGCATTCAAAACGTTAATATTACCTTAAAAATAACACAACTCATGTAATGCACGGGACAAAAACTAGTTCGTTAATAAATATAGAGAATATTACAATATAAATATATGTTGATAACCGTTATTTTCATATTTTTATTATGATGACAATATACAATCAATGTGATCAGCATGAATATACACAAATTCATTTTAAATCTTTTTTTTTTTTTAAATCCGCGACGATCAATCAAAATTATAGAACTAAAATGCTCATAGCTCAAATTATACATTATGTTCTTCGTGAGATAAATATTAAAAATATATAGGTCTCTACTTTTGATAGAATAAAAAGGGATATTAACAACATACAATTAAAATAATATTTTTATCTAAAAAAAGAAATACTAATTAAACAAAAATTTTGAAAAATAGAAATACTAATTAGAATAATGATATTTGCAGTCGTAGGAAAATATAAATAAGCAGTAGACTGTGTAACAACACTGCCTCAAGAATATCAAAATAAATTCAAATTCTTGATTATTTTATAAATAATTTCCAGTGTACTTAATGATTATGATTGTCGCTTAATAATATTTAGGTATGAACAAAGAATGCAGAAAATTATTCTGCCAATTCTAGTTACGACTTAAAACTATAATTAAGGATAAAAGTGAGTTTTAAGTCAAAAATTAATTGGTCCCGGCGGGGCTCGAACCCGCGACCTTCGGCTCATAAGACCAACGCTCTAACCAACTGAGCTACGGGACCATCTTTGTAAATTAAATAATTAGTAATTTATTTAATATATATTCTGTTTGGTACGACTGAAATAACAAGTATGCCCCTCCAAATAAAGTGAACTTTTTTAATTTTTTTGGAAAGAAATAATTGCCATTTAAAGGTTCCCGTTTTGTTTCTGTTGCTCTATTACACCATATATTACCATAAGAAAAATGCTAAACGACCCGCGTCAGTGACGGCGGGGATGACCGCACACTCACAGCCGAGGCATGGGTCCCATGTGAATAAAATAATCTCGACCCCCCATGTGTGTGCGTGTGGTCATCCCCGTTGTCACCCACCCGGGCACTGTAGCACGGCTCTTACCATAATTTCACTTAACAAAAACGTTGTCAAACCCTGTTCGGATTCTTGGAATGAATAAAGAAAGTTGGGTCGAATAAATAAATGGATAGGGTCCAATTCTTTGAAGCCTTTAATTGTACTTACGGATTGCTTTAGTGGATATTCTATGTACTCTTTTCTGCTTGAAAAAAAAAAACTAGCAGTGCCATTTAACCAGATCTTCAAGAGACAAAGTTGGTTATTTCAGCCATTTTTATTTATAACTTTTTTGAGAGGTAAAGAAATACACTTGGTTTCGTGTTGGATATAAAAAAGTATGCCCCAATAAAATCAATCCAAAATGGAACTTAAAAGAGAACCCTCGACAAGATTCCTATATTATGCACAATCTTATGATAAAATTTCATAAGAATTAATTTTGAATTATACGTCACTATCTAAAGGCACATTGACGATACGTAGAGATTTTTAGTTGATGATAGGACGAGTTCGATTAAGAAACTTATCAGGAGGAGCTCAGATGAAATGAATCCCTCCAGAAGTCATTTATTAAAGCAGAAAACACGCAAGTACAAAAGTTTGTAGTTTACAATCAACAACATGAAGCTGCATCAAAAGTTTGTTTACATAAATCTTTTCAAATCAGCAACATAAATGACTCTTTTGTTCAACACAAAATCAAGCTTCAACAGTATCAACTTATAACTGGTCATGCTTAAGCCCACAGTATGTATTGCAGTCACTTGAGAACTTAATATTAAATACCAAAAACCTGAACAGTGTTATCCGTTGTACAACAAAAATGAGAGAGAAAAAGGACCATTTACCTCAGCCAAAAATCTCGTAGAATTTCTCAATCACCAGTACTCCAGAGTCAATTGATTCCAGAGGATCCTTTCGAAGTCGGTGTCTCAAGCAGTTGGGAATGACAGTAGCAATATCCTCTGCAGTTACTTTATCTCTTCCTTTAAGAGAAGCCAAAGCTTTCGCTGCCCTATTGGTCACTATATCGCCTCTCAATCCATCAACATTCAATTCAGCACAGACCTTTGAGATTTTAACTCTAAGTTCATGATCGATTGTGACAGATGAGAGACAACTCCTAGCAGAGTAAATTTGTTGCTGGAGCTTTTCTTGCTCTGCCTTGTAAGATTCCCGGAATTCTTTTGGATTTCTATCAAATCGTGCTCTTTCCTCCACAATTTTCACCCTAAGCTCTGCATCCTTAACAGTCCCGACTTGTGCATGCATTCCAAAACGATCAAGAAGTTGTGGCCTAAGTTCTCCCTCTTCTGGATTTCCAGAACCAATAAGTATGAACCGGGCTGGATGTGATATTGAGATTCCCTCCCTTTCAACAGTATTCCATCCCGAGGCAGCAGAATCCAAAAGAACATCTACTAAATGGTCATCCAAAAGATTAACCTCGTCAACATAAAGAATTCCTCTGTTAGCTTTCGCAAGAAGACCAGGCTCAAACGCCTTCACACCCTCAGTAAGGGCTTTTTCGATGTCAATTGTCCCACATACTCGATCTTCTGTGGCACCTAATGGCAAATCAACCATGTTGATTTTGATTGAGATCACAGGGAGTTCTTCACCTTTCTTACGTTTTTCTCTAACTTCCATGCCCTGTACTTCTGGGTCATCTGGATCCGAATTGAATGCATCACCCGCAACTACTTCAATTTCAGGAAGTAAATCCACCAATGAGCGAACAGTCGTGGACTTCCCAGTTCCTCTATCACCCATTATCATCACACCTCCGATCTTTGGGTCAATCACATTCAACAAAAGGCACAATTTCATCTCATCTTGTCCTACTATAGCTGCAAACGGATAAACTGGTCTCTGGGACTCCTTCGATGCAAGCTTTTGTGCCTGAAAGTCAGAGTGCGACTTAAACAACAATCTTAAAATCTTACACTGGAAGTGACAAGGTTCCCCTTACGCAACGCCTAATCAGTTTGGCAGCATGGTATCCAGCCCTTAAAATAAGAATTGTAACTTGCGTTTCAAAGTGGAATAGATTTTTTTTCCAAACTCCGAATTTCAAAGTTCCAAATTCATTCCACCAAAGAAATGTAACAATGATGTTAAACTGTACTTACATCCAGGAAACTGTCTATCTACAACTGCAAACAAGTATCTGAATTATAAAAATGCTAAAAAATCCTACAAGCGTTAGAATTTTTCTCCAATTAAACGTATCAATAAGGCTGAACCCCTTATTTCTGGCAAATTTTCTAACCCTACAATTACTAAACTTGTTATCCTAACTAATACTACTGACAATTTAATCATACATTACATGAAAAAAATCAAGAGGTACCAAGATCATGAAATTAGTACCTGCTCTTGAGCAGGATTAACTTCAGTGGCAACATTAGAAACTAAAACGTGGAATTGAGATCTCTCTTTCTTGGTTGGTACTCCAATTCCTCTACAAAACTTCCTTCCCAGACTTATCCCTGCAGAAATTAACAAAAAGCTATAAACTTTAAAACCCTCCATCGGAGCATTGGCATTAGCCCATAGTTTAAATCTAATAAATTTCCACCTAAAATTCGAGAAATTGTGAGCTTCAATTTCGAAACGACCCTTTAAGCTCCAACCAAAAATACAAGAAATTCAAGAATGTGTACGTACCTGGAGATGGAGAGAGAGAAAAAGATGGAAACTTGGAGCAGTGAGACTGAGAAGAGAAGGGTTTAGAGGCGAAGATTCCTACTGTGGAGGAAGTTCCAAGACCCAGTAGTCCTGCCATGTTTGATAAGTGTGGTGGTGTTCAAAGTTTATGCGCTTTCTTGAGGTTCAGAACTTGGCATTTGTGTGTTGGTTACTACTGGATTCTTTTGTGCTGGGTTAGGATAAGAGGATAGATTTCCATGACCCCATTCCTCTTTTCTGACCGTTTTTTTTTTCCCTAACATTCATTTCCAGCCATGTTTAAAAAAAGAAAATTCACATTTTTTCATGATTTTACTTACTTTTCAATTACACACGTCAAAAAAAGTATTTTTCACCTCAAAAAAACTCTCTCATACTAAGGGCCTGTTCGGGAGTTATTTTTTCGCCGATTTTGAGGGGTATCGTTTACGAAGAGTTGAAAAAAAACTGTGCTTACTAGCTTTTTTTGGAGTAGTACAATTTTGATTGGTTTTCTCAACCCACCAAATCGAAAAGTTTTGACCATTTTTTATTTTTCTTTTAATTTTACCCTCTATAAAATAATTATTTCCAACCAACATTTTCTTCAAAACTAACTTATAAATAAAAATACATTAACTAAGAATTAGTGATAAGTAAAAAAATTAAAATACTACTAATAAGATAAAAATTCACTTATGTAATATAAAAAATAACTTATATGTAAAAAAATCAATTAAAAGTATTTAAAAGTATAAAGTGAATTTATAATTGTAAAATTTACATATAATTAAAGAATATTAACTTAAAATTTCTAGCAAATATTTAAATTTATTTAATTTTTTAAGTTATTAACTTATATGTAAAAAAATTACTTATAAGTAAAATATCGCTTATAAGTAAAATAATTTCATATAAAAAACTATAAACTGAAAATTTTACGGAATGATATATATAATTTTGTTCTTTTAAAAAACTTTCGAAATCGATGGATAATGAACTCTCAAACAAAAGTTGGATAATTTTAAAAATCGATTTGATCATAACCGGTGCGCTGAAACTCTCAAGCAGGCCGTAAGGCTTTATGTTTTTGTGCACCGCCCAATGGGACGTTACAGTAGACTTCCGTTTGCTTGGATTTATTGGTTGGCAGTTCTAGTTACAATTTTCTACTGGATTTTCTTCTTCCTATCTTCTTTGGCTTTGTGAAGTGATTATATAAATAATCTAGTGTTGTACCTCCAATAAATATTGGGGTAAATTGCACCAGAGGTCATTCAACTTGCAACTCAATGATATTTGATTTGGTGTGGTGGGACCACTATACTTTAGTTTACGAATGATGCCTGTACACGTATAATACCAGGGGGACATCTATCCCCTTGGCAGCGTACGGGGTCAGCGTATGGATTTATTATTAGTTTACAAGTAAAATAATATCACTCCTCTTGGACTCCGTTAACGGGAGTACAAACACGTCCGTCAAAATTAACAACATGCCAACCTATCAATATATTTTTCCATGTCAACCTACAAGACATCCAACGGGAACCAAATCAAAATAGGCATTCACAAACCAAAGGGATATGGATATACATCACAAAAGGGTACGAAAAGCGAAGACTTAAATGAAGCAATCTCTGTAAAAGAAGCTATGAGAATGAAGTAGTGGAAAGATGCAGTGGACGATGAGTTTAGTAAAGAACAGAATTTGGACTCTAGTCCCATATTCATCTCAAGTGAACATAATTGGTAACAAATGAGCATTCAAAACCAAGGTAAATGCAGATGGATCATTCCAAGATGCTAGGCAGTAGGCAAGGCTAATTTCCAAAGGCTTCCACCAAAAACCAATAAAAATTATTCGGAAACGTTTAGTCCAGTGGTGAAGGACTCTACGATAAGGGTGATATTGTTATTCTTGTTTTTGTATATTTTTTGGTGTGACTGTCTGGTTACGTTTCTTAACCGATATTTGTTAATCGTCGTAATAGACGTTAGTTAACTGACACTTAAAAGAGCAGATGCAATGTTTCAACTCGAACAGAGTTGTCTGTTCATTTTTGGAGGAACAGTCATCACTGCTCTGAAGAAATTTGTAGAATATTAGAATGGTCGCAATATATCATCTATAAATAGTCAGCCCTACTGTAAAAAAATTTACACCATTTTTATTGCAAACAATCTATACATTTAATATCATTTTCCTCTCTTATTTTGATATTGTTCTTCGAAGCATAAAATACTTCATCATCTTTGGAACTCGTGCTGATTGTTGTGTTACTTCCATATGAAAATAAATTTGTTATATCCTAGGAGATGATTATTGAATGCCTTTACGTACCAAGAATTGAGCAAATTTGTCTTAAAGATATATCGTGAGGTTGATGGGCTTGAATTAACATTTTGATCATGTTGATCATCCTATTATTCTATTCAAATTTATTCAGGTAAAATCTGCAAGTATAACTATCTTTAGATTGTTCAAATGAAAAATTTATACTTCGGAAACAACAAAAAAAATTGGTTGAAATGCCAGACGTAAATAATGCTTTTTTATATGGGATGTTACAAGAGGATGTATACTTGTTGAATACAATTTCAAGTTGGAAAATGCAATATACAACTTAATACACGTTAAAAACTACTCTTTTGAATTGTGACTTTGTAAACTAAAAGTGTGATTCATCATTGTTCTTCTTCACAGCTGATAAACAAGTTTTGATGGTTCTTGTCTATGTGGATGACGTAACAGTAACAGTAACAGGGAATGAGATTGACTCATGTTAGGCAAATTTGTTGTCAAACGATCTCTCTGGACGATGATGTAAGTATTGTGTATTTCAATCGGTATCGACCAAATGACTGAACATATATCGACACCACAACTTTGGTAAACCAATCACATGATCCACTTGGGCTATTTGAAGGAGCCTAATTTAATTAGTATTGCTCATGGCTCAACCCAAGATTTGGATGGCTCTTTCGGTTTGATAGCCCACTAACATATTTCCTATTAGGCCCTAATCTTTGTAACCTAAAGCCCATACCTAATTTCTCATATTTTACAATGAGGAAATTACACTCAGACTGGTATTTAAGATACCAATTTCA